CCTTGCTGTATTGGAGTTTCGGGAGATTTTGACATTTCGCTGAGAAAACTGTATCATTATACTGCCAGGGATCGGAGAGCTGCACTTGCAGCAGACCGCGTACAGGTAACACGACCTGTTCCTCGTGCAGATCACCTTTGCAAAGTTTGCCCATTCCTCGTTGAACCACTCATCCAAGGTCCACAGGCTGCTGCGAAGAATCCACTGTCTAGACGAAAACGGGTCGGCTTCATTGGATGAAAGAAGGATGAAGGGCACACGGCTCTTCGAAACCGCGATTTTTTGCGGTACCCTATTCTCGACTTTTCCACACTTCTCAACCTACTCTATAAGACTTGAAACCACAAAGCAGACACATCTTATTCAGGCGGCCTTCTCAATCAATCTAAGGGCATTTGGCCCTATCAAATCTTTCAACTGATTTTTATCAACGTTCGGTATCCAACAAACACCGTCACTACCTTCGAGGCTCTCGTCATCCCTACACAAGCTTTACAAATTATCGCTGCACAGCGCATTTTTTTGTGAAAGCGATATTGAACGAGTAGTTTAAAGGCAAACCCCGGGATCAGCACGACTAGTAGGAAGGATAACGCGAGGGAAATTGTCAGGTTCGCACCGTACTCTAACGACGTGCTCTCTCGCGTATTTTGTCTTCTTTGATCGCCCTGTCTCGCCATCGTACCACATCCGACCTTATTGAAGGTTAAGGCCTTAATTTCAGCGTTCCCAAAGATTTCTCTTGCTTTCCTTTCCACTTTCAGACGTTCCGCAGCTAAGTCATCACTGCGAAGCGCTCATAGCACCAGTTTAATCTCGCCATCCCTACAAGGTAAAAAAAACCTATTAAAGGTACAAAGACCATGGTCACTGTAACTACTAGAATGTATCCCTAGTCAATATGCTATAGCTCTAATATAATTTTGGAATTAGGGCAAAGAACCAAACTTTGGAGCGTCGCATCTGGTGACGTTGATAGCGGATAACTGGGCGATAATAACAGTTCTAATAGAATACTACCGCCTCTCCGCGATAAAAGTGTTAGCAATCCCCACACCTTCGCCCGCAAGCCCCGCCTTCCGCTGACCATGCGAGAACAGCACGCCGCAGTTGCGGCAGCTTTAGCATTGCGGCTCAATGTCATTGGCATTGGAGCAACTGGAGCCAGCGAGTCAATCAGAAGGCTCACATATACCGCCTCAACGCTTAGACTGTTTCATATATTTCAAATGCAAAAATTCTGTAATCCAGGCGATGGCACGCACAAACTCGGAAAGTGCCCAATACTAACAAAGATACCACAATTTCATGCTACCTTTTACGTGGTATGAACGTTTGAAGGAGAATATAATGAATCCCTGATATGTGAAAAATGCACTGACAAACTGACCGGCCAAGCAATCACTACTGCTAGCGTTCCAGTCGGCAAAAGTGAGCAACGGGACAAAGTTCAACTCGTATTTGCAACTCGGATTCATCAATATCCCTACAGTTTCTTTTTTGAGAGCTACTGGTCGGCCTTAAAGATAAATCTGATCGGATAAATAAAGAGCACGAGAAAAGCCGAAATCAATAAAAATACAAGCTCTGATCCTACCTGAAAATTCACCCATGAAAACTCGTTTTTGGTCGTAGTCGTTTGCATGGAGATTGTCCCAAATAAGTGGTCTGCGACGAAGAACTTTGGAAACATTTCGAATATGTTCAACAGTAATATGGCGAGAAATCACACGAGGGCCTGCCAACAGAGAAAAAAGTCACGTGGAACAGCAGAACACAAAAGTACACCTGAAAGTTGTACCTGTCCATAAAATATGTACATCAGTGATGAGTTCTTCTCCTAAAGTCGCTAGATACTCAGAGTGCTCAAGTGATGGCACTGCTCGACTTTCACAATATTCTAAGAAAGGTGTGCTATGAGAACAAAGGAAATGACAGGATTGATGGCACCTCACCTGTAGGACAAAAGAAGAATTGAGGACGTCCTAAGTACTCGTAAACCTCGTTTGTGACCGCTACCTACAAAAAAACGTTAAAAAGATAAACAAGACAAAACATTCCGCGTTCATCAATCCTCTTGAGATGCGCAACGCATTCCAACTCCATCCAGAATCGTAGCAGCATCTTGAATGCTATTTGGTCAAAACACTACTTGTGGGATCAGCCAATAGAAAGTCACTATTTAAAGGAAGCGGTCACGCTGGCTTCCACGCTGGATTTGCTACCCTCGCGTTATCAATCGATAAGGTGTGAGGCAGTAATTGTTGGACGAGTGTAAGCCCATGGAAGATATGAT